AACATCATCCTGCTGTTTGACTCAATGGCTGGCATCACGAGGAAATAGACATTTAAACTTGCTTAAACTAATGTTTCGATAAATCTCACATTGATCTTCATCAGGATTTACAGGTTCACAAGTCTTGCTTTACGAGCGACAGGGACAGCATGGTGTTCTGTTTTGGTCTTGCCAGTACTTACTAGACTTGAGGTCAAGACATAGTTAAGAAAAGACTACTGAAGTTACAAGGGAATATAAGATAATCTACGGAAGGAAAGAAGTCTGAAGATGGCTCGGGTTGTTTGGCCCAAAACGACCAACTTCGAATGTGTTGAAAGACGAACCATGGGTAAGGACTACAGATTGCAATCAGGCGAACACAATCTGTAAGTGTCCTACATCAATCTTTACTGCGGTTATTAATGAGAAATTGTCATACGTTACCCTTGAAACCGTTCCCGTTGTCATTTGAGATGAAGTTCAGTGAACATGCAGAAATGACAAAGTTGATAATGTCTATGCAAGTACGATATTACACCAGGACATCTTGAAGCATACTACTTTACCGACGTTAACAACTTCGAACGATGCGCTAGTAGTAACGGCCTGAAAATGAACGCTAGAAAATGCTTCGAGGGCGTTTTTATTTCTCGAAATTTGTGCTCTCCGACTCTTTTGGAACTTCCTTCAAACACAGATACAAGAAAGCTCCTTTGTCTTTCCCGGAGTACTTCTTAACGACCGGTTAACATGATGTGATCATGTTCTGTGAATCACATCAATCATCAGGATGGCGCCTTTCTACCTCAGAAGGCTACGATCGATGCGAACTCAAAATTGGTTTAGTTAGTATTTCTGGCGCTCCACAGTCACCTGCGCATCACCAGCGTTCTTCGAAGCATTTACTACCGCCGACTTCGCTGCTCTTAGGCGCTGTTTCCGATTTTCCGCTAGGTCTGCTGACTTTCCATGTGAACGCGTGGCTAGACTTGTAACTGCTGTTTCTATACTGTCACAAAGTAGTTCACTAAGAAAATTCTGGACGACCCCTCACACTATCTGCACGATTTCCTAGCCAGATGTCAGTTAAAAACAAAGGCGACTCGTTCAAGTATAAATTGCATGCATGCACGAACAGACACCTCCAGGCGATCAGTGATGCCTAACCTGATCCGGATGCTGAAAGATCAGTATATGCATGAATTCGAATAAGAACTCTGCACAGAATTAAATTTGAATTGACCCTTAGCTGCATGTAAACT